TTCATTTCGTGTTGTCCCAAAGTTCTCTTAGGCTCTCCTCCTGCTTTTTAATTTTTTTTTCTAGAAGCTGCTCTGCTTGGGTATTTTTTCCTACCTTGTCTTCTAGCTCACTGATGAGGTCCTCTGCTTCTTCTAGTCTACTGTTGATGCTTTCTATTGAGTTCTTTCTAGCAGTGATGTCATTTTTCATTTCTTCTTGGTTCTTCTTCATTTCCTCTTGGTTCTTACACATATTGTTGAATTTGTCTTCCATTATTTCCATCCACCTTATGACCATTTCTCTGAATTCTTTCTCTAACAGGTTGCTTGCCTCCATTGCCTCCATTTCGTTTACTTCCTTTTCTGGTGATGCCTGTTTTTCTTTCATATGCAGGCTGTTTCTTTGTCTCCCCATGATCTCTTTTTTCCAGGTTTTTGGTTATGTAGTTCTCCCTCTGCTGTGTTGTTTTAAAGGCACAAAATTCAACACAATAAGGCACAAAGCACAAGGCACTGAACACAAATGTATCCATCATACTAATAACCCCAAATAAAGGTGACCACCAGATCAAAGAGAATTAGGGGATAAGGAAGAAAGAAGAGAAAAAGAAAAAAGAGAGAAAAAAAGGAGTGCAAAAATGAAATTGGGAAAAGGAAAAAAAGTAAGAGAGAAAAGAAAGAGAATGAAATAGAAGAGGGGAAGAAACTATATGTGGAGAAAACTCCAATAGAACAGCCACTAATCCCAACAAATTCCAGCAACAGAATGCAAACTACAAACAACAATTGATATCAAGTGAGGCAAGGGAAAACAGGAGCAAAAATAAATAAATAAATAAATAACCGGAAAAGAAAAAGAAAAACAAACAAACAGAAAAATAGAAAGAAAAAGCAAAACAGTCTCACGGACAAGCATAAAAAAACCCCAATATACTGAACAATCAAGTACACAACAACCAAATGACAGAGAGAAAAAAAATTGGATAGTGAAGAAAGAGAAGAGAGAGGTGAATATGGATTTAGAGCAGGGGATTGGAAATTAGATATATAAGTAGGGTGAAATTTTAACAGGGAGTAAAAAGAAGGAATAGGGAAAATCTAAAGCAGGAATAGGGTAAGAGAAACAGGACAACAAAAGGGGAAAAGTGAGGAGGAGAGTTTTGGTGTAAAGGTAAAGTTGAGGTAGAGTAAAATGATGCTAAAGGAAAGATGAAAATAGAATGTAGAACACTAATCCCAAAATATAATGACACTTTAAAAAAAGGTAAAATGGTAGTAGTAATAATACTGGTTAAAAATAAAAATGTAGTAATTAAAAAGGTAAAATCAGGTGATGAAAAAAAAATTAGTTTCTTAAGTAAAAGGTGAAAAAAATAAAAAAAAGTGCAGTAGTGAAGGTCCTTCAGTTCCTCTACTCTTCTGTTTGACACGCCTTAGTCCTGTCAGGTATTCAGGAGAGTGTTGAAGTTCCCTGCGATACCCTGTTCCTCTGTGTTGTAAACCACAGTCCTGATTTTAAAGCAGGCAGTATCTGTTTCCCAGACTGCCTTTATTTGTGTTTACAGAAGAGTCAGTTTGTGGTTCAGCCTCTGGGTGGCAGTGTTTCTGGATTTACCTCTGAGGCTATAAGTCCTCTCTAGCCTGTAGTTTGGGAGAGCTGTTTCTGCCACAGAGCTGTTTCTTTGATTCCCAGGTTCCACAAAAACAACTTTTCCCTGCAGTCTCTGCGAGTGACCCCAATTGGGCGATCCTATGTATTGGGTTTAATAATCAAACACAAAGATTTAAAGGGGAGAGAGAGGGAAAAAAAGGGCCTGAGGAGGTGCACGAGCTCTTGTAACCCTCCACCATCCAGCTCTGTGCGCAGTCTCTTCCGCACGTCCTCTCTCTCCTGGCACTAAGCAGCTGGTACACTGGCAAAATCCGAGGCTGCCTTTTTGCACCCAGTCCAGTTATGGGCTTATTTTCAGCTTTCCCTTCTGGCGGCAGCCCTGTGAGACCCCTTCCACACTCTCAGATCACGTTGGCCCCAACGGCCGCGGACCTCGTGGGGCGCAGACTACTCCCACATGTGTTCCTCTCTCCAACCTGGATTGCAAACCGTACCCTTATCAAGGCAAAATCTGACCTTTCCGTGAGGAGGAGCAGGGCTCCTCTGAGTCCATGTATTCGTGCTGCTTTAGATCCAGTGTTTCTGGGTCAGTAGCCGATTCCTGGATGCTGTGGTTGCAGGGTCTTTGGATGTATACGCTTCCGAAAACAGCCACTCAAGATGGCGCGGACTCCGTGCCTGAGCCAGCCATTCCGGGAGAGTTTTCAGCCGCAGTCTCCAACAGTCCCCTTTCTCCGGGAGTCCTCTGCTTTTCCTGGCTGCAAACTGTCTCCCAGCTGAATTTCCTCTGCCTATTCGGGCTAGATGTTACTTGGTTCAGCTGCTCACACTATCTGCTCTGGGACAAGGCTCAGGACACGTTCATCTATACCGCCGCCATTTTCTCCCCCCGGGTCTTGGGCCTTTTATTGATAGGTTTGGGGTATGCTGTCACCAGCTGCAGCTTGTTTGACAGATTTTAGCAAAATCTGAAGCCTGAGCCAGGACAGACCATTCATATGGAAAAGCTGTTGTGAACAGCTTGGGTGGGGCTGTAAATTGGGTTGGGTGGGATCTCAGGGAATCCCCAGGGTGGAGCAAACTGTGTGCTTCAGGCTGATTGAGACTCAGCTATGGATGCCAGTCATCCCTGTGACAGGGGACATTCCATCCCAGGAACAATGACCCTTGCTAGCACCCCTGTCTGGGAGAAAGCCACCTCCGAGTTTCTGTCCCGATGCCAAACAATGGACCATGTAAGTTTGTGTGATGGCCCTTTAAGAGGAGCACCTGGGACTTCAGCAGCCTCCTTGTCACTCAACCACAATCTCTGCTGGTTTTTACTGCCCAAAGTTACGGGGACTTCTCTTCCTAGGTCTGGAACCCTGGGCTGGGGGTCTGGGGTGGGCTGGGACCCCTTACTCCTCAAGGGCAGCCTCCACACAAACAATCTCCCTCCCAATTAAAAAAACAACACACTTGGGTGTTGGACCAGCCTGTTCCACGCCTCCACCCCTCCTACCCTCCTACTAATCTCAGTGTGCTTTCTTTACCTTTCTAGTTGTGTGACTTCCATTCAGTTAGTTTTCAGGCAGTTCTTTTTTTGTTTTTTATTCAGGCAGTTCTGAATGATGGTTGTTCTGTATTTTAGTTGTAATTTTGATGTGGCTGTGGGAGGAAGTGAGTACAGGCGTTTACCTACCCTGCCATCTTGGTTCTCCTGACAGTATTTTTTTAATTTATTGATTTTTTTTTTAAGTAAGGAGAGAGAAAGAGGGAGAGAGAAACATCAATTTGTTGTTCCACTTATTTATGCATTCATTGGTTGACTCTTGTATGTAGCGTGACCAAGGATGGAACCGCAACCTCGGTGTATGGGGACTGAGCTACCCGGCCAGGGCCTTGAGTAGGACCTTTTCAACATTCTTTCTTACCTTCATGTTTATGCGTCTTTGCTTATGCTGTTCCCTCGGTCAGAATACCCTCCGTACCTATCCCCACCCCCTATCCCTAGCATAGAAGTGTGTATCCTTTTCTTTAAGGACTACCTCAAGTGCTATCTCCTGGCCTCTCTTCCAGGTAGAATTATTCATGTAGTCTTCTAATCCCCTAGTACTTCATATACAATACTATGCATTATAATAGAGGCGGCTTTAATATTTATTTTGTTTTACCAGTGAGACTTGAGTTTATTGAGGACAAGGCCTGTGCATTATTTATCTTTGTATCTTTGTGCAGCTCCTGACATAGTGCCAGGCCTATATATAATAGGCATTTAGCTGAAAGAAAAGGATAAAAATTTGCATGCATGACTATACAGTATCCTATTTGATAAGAGTGGGAAAGGCTTAAATCAGAATTACAGCACGTGTACTCTAATAGCTGGTAAAACAACAAAAAATTAATCATTTGTTATATTTACTTTGAATATATGAGAACTTGAAAGCAAACTATTAAATGCTTATGACTTATTTTAAATGAGCCATCTACAGGATGAAAATCAGGTATTTTCTGTGATTGTATGTTTTAGCTTTTGCATTTTATTTGAAAAAGTCACACAGGGTACTAGCTAAGTAATGTTGCTTAAAATTAGATTAGGTAACAAATCATAAACATTGCACTTATCAGTCAGACTTCTGCCAGTTACAACTGTCTGGAACATATTCAACAACCCCCGAAGGAATCCAGAAAGGTCTTTAAAGTTGGAAGAAGAAAATAGCTCTTACGAAGTCTGTGCACTTGATGTGGAGGGGCGGGGAGGCATAGTGCCACTCACATACCAAGACCTACTTACTGACTTTGAAATTTCATAGAAAACTCCATGGACAGTTTGGATATTTGACTTCCCTTCCAGACATTTTTGCTTATCTTGGGTTTCGGTAGAAAAAAAGATTAAAATAACTCTGCCATCCATGCTTCCTGAAGGCACTATAGTATTGTTGAGATGAGTGTGAAAGTGATTCTCATGTTTTTCTTCCATAAACCATGGAAACTTACTTTGCCCTATATTTTTTTTTGTTCTATATTTTTTTTAGTCTTTAAGAATTTTGATTGGCTCACATAAAATTGGTGGAGGGAATACTTACTTTATTCTACTTTATTTAAAAATCTGAGGTTTAAAAGAGTAATGTCTTTTTGATCTCATCTCTTTGAAAGGGGGTGGTTAAATTGAGGGACAAAGCCTTTATTCCCTCATTCAGGTATTAATGTTATTTATTGTAGGTTGAAACCTTGAATGTGAAAGGAATATCTATAAATTTCTTTGCTTAGTTAGCTAAAAGCTGTATAAGTAAGCCTAGAGGAAAAGTCAAAAGGCTTGTTTAAATGATTTGGGGGTCTATTTTAATGCACGCTAAACATGCGTTTTTCATGGTGGGACAACAAATGAAAACAGGTATCATTCAGTTTTCTTTCTCTCTTCTCTTTCTAGATTGCCAAAATGCTTTGGAATTTTTAACTGACTTTAAGGAAAGTCCAAAATAGATTTGAGACTGTGAAAAAAGAAGCTGCAGCAAGGGGGATTCAGTGCCAATGCATCAACAAAAAAAACAGCAAGATTTAGTGGAAGGAAATCTTCCTGTTTTTGTGTTTCCCACGGAGCTAATATTTTATGCAGATGACCAGTCAACACATAAGCAAGTGTTGACTTTATATAACCCCTATGAGTTTGCCTTAAAGTTCAAAGGTGAGTCTCCTAGGTATATTTGATGGATTAAACTAGTCCCTACTAATTTTTTACTTGTAGAAACTAATTTTTTAAAAACACTAATGGTCATTGTGACTTTTTCTTTCAGTTTTGTGTACTACTCCAAATAAGTATGTTGTCGTTGATGCTGCAGGTGCAGTAAAGCCTCAGTGTTGTGTGGATATGTAAGTCCCAATCACTTCCTGGTAACATGTTTTAAATGTGTTAATATTTATATGTTTAACTTGAAAAGGTTTTTTCTTGAAGCTATTCCCACATAGGCATTTATTATACTTTGAATTTTTGCTGAAAGTTTTAGTCTATCAAAATTCTTGGAGAGGTAGTAAAGGGTAAAGGGAGTCAAATATATGGTAATGGAAGAAAATTTGACTTTGGGTGATGCTCACACAATGCAATATACAGTTATAGAATTATATACTTGAAACCTATATAATTTTATTAACCAATGTCACACCAATAAGTTGAATTAGAAAGAAAAAATTCTTGTTAAGTTGCTAATAGATTCTAAATAGGTCAAATAAATACTTAATATTTAATTATGTTATAACTGATGTGTGTTAATATTTCTGTGAACATTTCCTCATTGTTGTGCTTTTAGTTAGAATGGACATTTATGAAGGTAAAGTTCTAACTTATTCCTTTAAATTTCTCTAGCTATAATAAGAAATTTAACTTTCTTTGGAACATCTTGCTATTATAGTGAAATTTGGGAAACTAATAATACTATACTCTCAGAACAATGGTAATATAAGTTCATCCAAAATGATTCAGCTAATAAGCTTTAAAGTTAATCTATACAAACAGGAAGCAAGTGCATAACTACTCAGCTATAAAAGGTTATCTGAGCTCTTCTAGATAATTTCTTCTTAGAGTGCTAGATAAATGACTGGTTGTTCAGGCTGTTCATACTTAATTTTCACTTTAGAACTGGTGACGACCAGATGGATCCATTGACCAGCCCTTAATTTAAGCCACCCAGTAAGCTGTATTTGTTTAAATTTTCTGGGAGAATGAGAAGCAGAAGTCTTTTCTTTTTAATAGACTTACAGCATTAAAATTATGTATCTTTAAGAATGTGTTTTTGCACACTTCTTTTGATTTTCATTCAGTACAAAATAAGCAAGGACTATTCCAAAGAAATGTAGTTTCTAGCTAAATAAATGTGCTATCTTTACCTAATTGTTCTGTGTTCTCTATTAAGAACAAAGTAAAAAAAAAGAACAAAGTAAAATATATGGAACTTCAGATAACTCATAAAAATTGAAGTGCTTTATACTCTTTTCAGAGAGATACAGAAGTGTATTGTTAGCCTTCTGTTGGATTGGTCAGACTGAATTACTCATGCAAATGCTTATTTTTATCTGCATTCATGGATTTCAGATTTTAAGTCTAGGGTGAGGTTTGTAAAATGTGTTAATATTTTTGAACAATAAGTGGCAATAGAAAATTTATGACACTTTTGTGGAGGAAGAAACAATTTCATATATCTTATTTAGTAAATATTAATATATACAGATATCCAGAAAAAAGTCATTGCCAAAAGGAGTTTTCTTTGCCCATCATTTTTTTTTTAAAGCCCACAACCCGGGCATGTGCCCTTGACCTGAATTGAACCCGGTACCTTTCAGTTTGCAGGCCAATGTTCTATCCACTGAGCCAAACCGGCTAGAGCTGCCCATCATATTTTACTTTTATTCTCTGTTTTAGAGTATGTGCTTTCATCAAATATTTCAGCAGCACCCATTTCCTTTTGGGTTATACTGTGATTTTTTTTTAAAGCATCATTAGCAAATCTCTGTATTTGAATATTTGGTTATAATCAGTTAATATTATTTTAATGTATGAAATCTCTTACTGAATTCTGTTTGACAGCCACCCCCCTCAAAACCTAAACAGCATTTGTTATTTTTAAATGTTTTCAGTGTGATTCGTCATAAAGATGTTCGATCCTGTCACTATGGAGTAATGGACAAATTCCGTCTCCAAGTTTCCGAACAAAGCCAGAGGAAGGCTTTAGGAAGGAAAGAGGTTGTGGCCACTCTTCTCCCTTCTGCAAAAGAGCAACAAAAGGAAGAAGAGGAAAAAAGAATAAAGGAACCATTAAGTGATAGCTTATTTTTTGAGCAGTCTTTTCAACCAGGTAATTTTGGGTGGTTTTTAAAGCTCTTTTGAGGTCTTACACATTTCTAACTTTAAAATAATTAGGGAGCTAAAAATAATTACTAGAAAAATAATCTGTTGCTTTAAAACTAATCAACTACTTTTGAAACAGAACCTAAAAATCAGGTACCTAAAATCAAGCCGAGGCCTAGAGCTGGACTTTCAGAGGAGAGGACTAGAGGCTGCTGTAAGGAGAAGGCAAATGTTGCCATAACCTGTACATCTATAAAACCTGAGAATGCAGGCACTGTACTTTATAATGCTATCACAATTTGGCAATTATATACTACTGTTTCTGTGACTTTTCTATATCCTTTCTCATTTGATTAGTTCAAAGAAGGAGAGAGAGATTGTGTTTGGCAATAGTCCAAGCTTGGTGCACTGTTCATATTATTTTTGGAAAAAAAAGTCATTAAAGTTGAAGTTAATTAAACTAAGTAGATTATAATATCCCCTGTGAGCTATTGATTCAATCCCTCTCTATTCCTCATTTCCTTCCAGCTTAAATATATAGACATGTTATGATGTATCATTTCAACATGGACAGTATCCTCATCTTCAACTCTTTGGACATCTGTCCCTCTCCTTCTTAATTTCTCATTATCTCCCTCCAACCCTATTAAAAGAGGAGGTAGATAAATTTTCCATAGAAAAGCATGGGAACTTTTTGATAGTGATATATAAATGTGATAGCAGCTGCCCTTGAAATTGTCACATAAAGTCTACCTGTCATTATATTAATTCATAGATTCCCTATCAGTCTGTTCATCTTAGCATGTCTATTTTGATAACACAGGGAGTAATGCCTCTTTGATTTACTGTAGGCAAGGCTTCTGTCCATGTAGGGAGTGCCCAGATTTTCTGGTGATAGCAAAACTAGGGACTGGGTAGTAGCTAGTAGATTGATTTCTTCTCAGCAACTGTTATTGACTGACAGGACCAGCTTTTCTTATTTTGAAGCTGACAGAGACCCTTTGTTAAATGCCACTTTGACCTCAGATTAATATTAATATTAAGTCAACTTATAAATATTTATGATATTCAAGATTCCCCTTTCACAATGCCTTCTCTAGAACAAGAAAGGCCATAAAATGAATATTTGGATTTTATGTTAAATTCATAATTTAAATCAACTGCCATGATATTTTGAATTTAATTTTAAAATGTCTGCTGCTTGTGTCTATAAACGCTTATGGCATACAAATGGTTAAAAAAGTGATCATTGGACCTAATTTGTAATTAATAGACCAGTTTAATAGCCAAGAATAAGAGTTAAAAGTTTAGTTATATTTTATCCTCTTTTATTTTTATTTTTAAATATATCTTTATTGATTTCAGAGAGGAAGGAAGAGGGAGAGAGAGATAGAAACATCAATAATGAGAGAGAATCCTTGATCAGCTGCCTCCTGCATGCCCCCTACTGGGGATTGAGCCCACAACTTGGGTATATGCCCTTGACCGGAATTGAACCCAGGACCCTTCAGTTCGCAGGCTGATGCTCTATCCACTGAGCCAAACCAGCTAGGGCTATCCTCTTATTTTTTTTATTTATTTTTTAAATTAAATCTTTATTGTTCAGATTATTACAGTTGTTCCTCTTTTTTCCCCCCATAGCTCCCCTCCTCCCGGTTCCCACCCCACCCTCTGCCCTTACCGCCCCCCACTGTCCTCATCCATAGGTGTACAATTTTTGTCCAGTCTCTTCCCACACCCCCACACCCCTTTCCCCCCAAGAATTGTCAGTCCATTCCCTTTCTATGCCCCTGATTCTATTATATTCACCAGTTTATTCTGCTCATCAGATTTTTTTATTCACTTGATTTTTAGATTCAATTGTTGATAGATATGTATTTGTTGTTCATAATTTGTATCTTTACCTTTTTCTTCTTCTTCCTCTTCTTAAAGAATACCTTTCAGCATTTCATATAATACTGGTTTGGTGGTGATGAACTCCTTTAGCTTTTTCTTATCAGTGAAGCTCTTTATCTGACCTTCAGTTCTGAATGATAGCTTTGCTGGGTAAAGTAATCTTGGTTGTAGGTTCTTGCTATTCATCACTTTGAATATTTCTTGCCACTCCCTTCTGGCCTGCATAGTTTCTGTTAAGAAATCAGCTGACAGTCGTATGGGTACTCCCTTGTAGGTAATTGAGTCTCTTTCTCTTGCTGCTTTTAAGATTCTCTCTTTGTCTTTTGCTCTTGGCATTTTAATTATGATGTGTCTTGGTGTGGTCCTCTTTGGATTCCTTTTGTTTGGAGTTCTCTGTGCTTCCTAGATTTGTAAGTCTATTTCTTTCACCAGGTAGGGGAAGTTTTCTGTCATTATTTCTTCAAATATGTTTTCAATATCTTGCTCTCTCTCTTCTTCTGGCACCCCCATAATTCGGATGTTGGTACGCTTGAAGTTGTCCCAGAGGCTCCTTACACTATCTTCATATTTTTGGATTCTTTTTTCTTTTTGCTTTTCCGGTTGGGTGTTTTTTTACTTCTTCGTATTTCAAATCTTTGACTTGATTCTTGTGATCCTCTAGTCTGCTGTTGGATCTATGTATAATATTCTTTATTTCAGTCAGTGTATGCTTAATTTCTAGTTGGTCCTTTTCATATCCTCGAGGGTCTCATTAGATTTATGGAGGGTCTCACTAAATTTGTCGGCGGTTTCTAGAAAATTCTTGAAAAACCTTAGATTGTGGTTTTGAACTCTATATCCAGTAGTTTGCTTTCCTCCATTTCTGTCATTTGTGACCTGTTTCTTTGTCTCTGCATTTTGGTTGCTTCCCTGTGTTGATAGGGTGGCTTTCTGTGCTAGGTGTCCTATAGGGCCCAGTGGCACAGCCTCCCCAATTACCTGAGGTGGACACTCTTGGTGCACCCCTTTGTAGGCTGTGTGCACAGTCTTGTTGTAGTTAAGCCTTGATTGTAGTTGGTATCACTGGGAGGAATTGACCTCCAGGCCAATTGGCTGTGAGAATCAGCTGTGTCTATGGTGGGAGAACTTCTGTGCTGGAGACACCCTTATGGGACAAGACTTGCTTCAGTGGGGCTTTGGTGCTCACTGAGTCTGCCCCCTGAGTGTGTCCCTTATGGATCTGAGGAGTTGTAATCTGTATGGTCCCACTCTAACCACTGGGTACACTGGCTCTTGGATCTCTAAGGAGGTGCTAATTTAGCCTCTGCCTGAGGCTACCCAGCAGGAGCTACGGAGAGATCTGCAGATTCCTCTTCTTTGTTTGGGATTTGGAGGTGCCCAGATGAGGCCCAGCTCTGCACTTTACTTCCGCACCTCCTCTGAGTCTCAGTGTGCTTTTCTCTTTCCTTCTAGTTGTAGAATTTCCACTCAGCCAGCCTTCCTGTGGTTCTGGATGATGTCCGTTTTGTCTTTTAGTTGTATTTTTGAAGTGGGTGTGCAAGGCAGCAATTTCAGGTGTTTACCTATGCCGCCTTCTTGGTTTCTTTATCCTCTTTTATTTTTAAGTGTATGAAAATTTAGGTGAAAAATTATCCTGAAAGGCTAAATAATTACAATGTGTATTAATTGAGCATTTTATTCTTACTTTATTTTTATAATGAATCTTTGGTATCTGAAATATAGTATTCTTCTAATTGTCAAATTGGAGTAGGTAAATAAATGAAATTGGGTGATACTGGAATAACATGTGATCTCTGTTTTGAAAAAAAAAATCCATGTCAGGAAGCTCAATGAAAGCAGGCCTCTTATTTGTCTGGTGTACCATTATGTTCTCAGCACAGAGTACAATTGTCCTTTGGTACCTGAGGATGACTGGTTCCAGAACCGCCCCCCCCCCCCATACTAAAATCAGCCATTGCTCAAGTGTTTTATTCGGCCCTTCGTATCCATGGGTTCCGTATCCTCCAACTGCAAATTAATGGTTTGTTGAATCTGTGGCTGACTTTAGCTTCACTGAACTTCTTATTTGGTAGGGTCTGTTGGGTTGGCTTTCTTTGTCTTATAAGGTTTCCACTGCTATGGACACTCTAGAGCAAGGGCGATATGTTTCTAATGTTTCTAATATGGAATTGAATAAAGTTTTCTTCTTTAATAGAGTGTAATGGTGATTGATTTAGTCTGTATTGACAAAGTGATATTTTCAACTTCTGTTTATTTTTTTAATACAGTCATGTGTCAATCACTGGGATACATTCTGAGAAATGTGTCATTAGACAGTTTTTTTAAATATATTTTATTGATTTTTTACAGAGAGGAAGGGAGAGGGATAGAGAGTTAGAAACATCGATGAGAGAGAAACATCGATCAGCTGCCTCCTGCACACCCCCTACTGGGGATGTGCCCGCAACCAAGGTACATGCCCTTGACTGGAATCGAACCCGGGACCCTTCAGTCCGCAGGCCGACGCTCTATCCACTGAGCCAAACCAATCAGGGCTCATTAGACAGTTTTGTTGTTCAAACATCATAGAGTGCACTTACACAAACCTACATAGTATAGTCTACTATACACCTAGGCTATAAGGTATAACCTATTGCTTCTAGGCTACAAACCTGTGTAGCATGTTAATGCACAAAACAACATAAGATTAAATCAAGCACAAGAGAGAATGGTACAATCAAGAGACATGGAAAACATAAGACCTGTGAGGCTGCTGTTGCCTGCATAACATGGCATACTGTTTTACAGCAAACTCTAGAAGTAGAAAGAGTATACTATAAAATAATGATAAAAAAGTATATGTAATATAGTAAATACAGAAGCCAGTAACATCATCTTTTATTATCATTATCAATAATTATGTGCTGTACATAATTATATGTGCTGTACTTTTATACAAATGGTAGCTCAGTAGGTTTGTTTATACCAGCAGCACCAAAAACATGCGAGTAATGTGTTGTGCTATGACACTGTGATGGCTACAACATCACTAGGTGATAAGAATTTTTCAGTTCCATTATAATCTTATGGAACTACAGTTGTATATGCAGTCTGTAGTTGACCAAAACATCAGATTTGGCACACAACTATAGTGAATTATGGGTAGTTTCCAGTATATAGGATTCTCAGGTTTATCATTAAGTTTCTCTGAACTAAAATTTTTTATATATTTTATTGATTTCAGAGAGGAAGGGTGAGGGAGAGAGAGATAGAAACATCAATGATGAGAGAGAATCATTGATCGACTGCCTCCTGCACGCCCCACACTGGAGATTGAGCCCACAGCTCAGGCATGTGCCCTTGACCGGAATCAAACCTGGGACCCTTCAGTCTGCAAGTCAATGCTCTATCCACTGAGCCAAACTGGCGAGGACTGAACTAAAATTTTGAAACAAATTGAGATTGTTTCCGGAGAGGTTTTGAAGTGGTATTATTTTTTCATGTCTTTAGCTTGGAAATTGTTTATTAGACATGTTATCAATACAACAATGTTGTGAGGCTCTTTGAGCTAGCTGGAAAATGGTCAAAGACTATGCTCATGAAAGATTTGGATTTTTAAATGTATTGTAAAGCAGTAAAAATGAGATTTTTTTCTCAAGTTTATTGTATAAAAACATGGCACTAAATTTTAAAAAGGAAGCAACCCTTATAATACCATACACTTAACAAACATGCTGATATAAATGTTCCATGTTACTTTCTAGGACTTGTGTATGCACATAAATATAATCTTGTATATATTCATTTAGTAGAAATTTAACTAAGGGGAACCCACAAAGCATACTTTTACATAATGCTACAGCCCAGGTTATTAAAAAGATGAAGCTGAATCATAGTGGGTTTGTCTTAATTACATTACTAATGAACTATGTCTTTGCAATGTTTGAGTCAGTGCCCTCTGGCTTAAGAAAATTAGGGTCCTTATTATTATTTATAATAATAAATGGTTGAAAAGGATATAGCCCTGGCTGGTTTGGCTCAATGGATGGAGCGTCAGCCTGCAGACTGAAGGGTCCTGGGTTCGATTCCGGTCAAGTGCACATGCCCGGGTTGCGGGCTTGATCCCCAGCGGGGGATGTACAGGAGGCAGCCACTCGATGATCCTCTCTCATCATTGATGTTTCTATCTCTCTCTCCCTCTCCCTTTCTCTCTGAAATCAATAAAAATATATTAAAAAAGAAAAAGATATAAATGTCTATCAGTTGGGGATTGATTAAATTATAAATGTTTGTGAGATGGGATGCCAGGCAGGTATATATAAGGTTCTAATAGAATGATAGATGGTTACATATTAACATGGAAAGAGGTTCAAATATATTCCGAAGTGAGAAAAAACAGGTATAGAACAGTATATTATAGTATATTATAATATTATAACAGTGTGTTATAGTCTCATTTATGTAAAAATTTATTTTACATATTTATATGGGCATTAATAAAATCCAAAAGGATCTGTAGCAAGCTTTACATAGTGTTATTTCCAGGAAGATGAGATTACATAGGAATTTTATGATTTCTGTATCTCTATAAAATTTTTACAACAATCATAAAAAGAGCGATTTCCTGCCCAGGTGGAGTGGCTCAGTTGATTGAGCATCATCCTGTGCACCAAAAGGTTGCCAGTTTGATTCCCGGTCGGGGCACATACCTGGGTTGCGGGTTCCATCCCCAATGGGGCACTTACGGAAGGCAACTGATCTCTCTCTCTCTCTCTCTCTCTCTCTCTCTCTCTGTATGTCTTCAGGTGAGGATTTAAAAAAAAGAGCTATTTCCATTTTGAAAAACTTCAACCATTTATGCAAATATTTTTTTGAATTTCTCTAAATACTAAAAATTACTTGAAATTATCTCGATTGTAGGTTTGCAGTGAGCAGTGTAATTGTCAGTGTTTTCCTTGAAAACATATCTTTGCAACAAATATAAATGTAAAGGTACTTCATTTATTAACGAAAACAAGACTTGTTTTGAGGTATTTACCCCATCAAATATCCCCCTCTTTATCCCCCTACTCCCCCATCATTCGATTCCTGTCCTGCTCCAGGCTCTCGGCCTTCACTACCCTTATGTCTACGTTCATGGGCAAGTTTTTAGGTATTAATGCTATTGTTCACCTCAAACAATAATCACTATAAAATTTGAATTTGTTTTCGTCTACCTGGTTTTGGCGATGCTCCATGAAACTTTGCACAAAAGCTAAAGTATTAATAATTTAGAAAAGCTGCATTTAATAATAAAATGAGCAGGATTATTTCATTAATGAAAGACAAAGATTATGTTGTTGTTGGCTCTTCCTTTTAATGAAAGGAAGGGTAGTGGGAAAAGCCAAATAACAGAAAATGCTCTTAATGGGCTTCTTAAAAATATAGGTATGGATATTGTACACATACACCAGAACTGTAGAATAGTAAGGCCGATAATAAATGCTTTATAAATTTTATTTTGTTGTGGTAAGAATACTTAACATGAGATCTACCCTGTTCACAAATATTTCAGTGTACAAAACACTATTGTTGACTATAGGTACAATGTTGTACAGCAGATCTCTAGACCATACTCATCTTACATAATTGACACTTTATGTCCGCTGATTAGTAACTTCCATCTCAAACACCCCCAACCCCTAGCGACCACCATTCTACTCTCTGCTTCTATGACTTTGACTATTTTAGACACTTCATATAAGTGGAATTTTTTATGTATAAGTGGAATTTTGCAGTATTTGTCCTGTGACTGGTTTGTTTCACTTAGCATAATATTTGCCAAATATTGTTTCTGCTGCTTTCTTCTTTGCTGTAAATGGGAGTAAAGCAGAAGGCAAGAGTTTTCATAAGTAGCTTTAAAACACTCAAATAGTGCCTTTTTGCTGCCTTAACATTTTCAAAATTAGTCGCAGGATGCTGTGGTTATTAGGACCAAATGTCTGGAGACCTACCTACGATAGTTCTAGAACAGTGATTCCCAAAGTGGGCGCTACCGCCCCCCGGTGGGCGCTGCAGCGATCCAGGGGGGCGGTGATGGCCACAGGTGCATTTGGGGGAGATGAGTAACTGCTATTAAAATTAAAAAAAAAATTAATTTCCAGGGGCTGAGTAATATTTTTTCTGGAAAGGGGGCGGTAGGCCAAATAAGTTTGGGAATCACTGTTCTAGAAGGTAGTGGAGCTCTAGTGCAGTGTGTTTCAGAAAGAAGTTCACATAAGCAATCCATTAGGGTACAGGAAGAAAACATCAGAATGTCAATGTCTATTTTTAGCCCATTATTTAAAAATTTTATTTGTATGGTTTATGTTAAGTATAATAGGACAGTGTGCATATAATTTATAAACATACACAGCTGATACATGCTTGAACGCGTTCTACTGATTACGGTGAGGAGAGTGTGTGGAAGGATGGTAGCCTTTCAATAGGAACTCACTATCTCACAATGCTGTTACAACATTCTACCCTATGACTCAGAGAAGTATGGGCTTCCAGATAAGTTCAGCAGATAGGTCCCTATGGAATGGGAGTGATGGGGAAAGAGTCAGAGAATTTAGACAAAACCAGAATCCTGGTGAATGGTGGACAGTATATGTGAACAAACTTTTGTCTAAGTTGTTTTTAGAAGCAAGCTCAAGGATTTTTGTCTTTTATACAGAAAACAGAACTGTCTCCTCAGGACCTAGTTTACTAACTGTCTTCCTGGCAGTGGTGTGCATTGCAGCTCTGATGCTTCCTACACTGGGGGATGTGGAATCGCTGGTGCCTCTCTACCTCCACTTAAGTGTGAATCAAAAATTAGTGGCTGCTTACATCTTAGGTAAGTGTTTTAAAGATTTGGGGCATATGTGTAGGCAATATGTATGGCTTGGAGGTGGTAGTGATGGTCTTATGTATATTGGATGATGGTGGTGGTGTTGGTTTGATTTTTTTTTTTAGCAAAGCATAAAAGATTGCTTTAAAAACATGTTGAGGCCAAGTACATTTTAAGATTTAATTTTTTGGCTCACATTTAGTTTTTTTTAGCTTATTTATCTAGTACCTGATACTGTATTTATTTGATTATTTTATTTTTACTGAGTTACAATGGTATAAAACATGTGTAAAATGCATATATTCCATGATACAGCTTTTCTACTTCTAGGAATTGATCCTAGGGAACACTTAGACAAAGTATACACAATGATAGAGATGAACAATGCAGACTTGTTTAATATTGTGAACCTTTATTTTTATTGATTTCAGAGAGGAAGGGAGAGGGAGAGAGAGATAGAAACATCAATGATGAGAGAGAATCATTGATTGGCTGCTTCCTGTATGCCCCCCAATGGGGATTGAGCCCACAACCTAGGCATGTGCCCTGACCAGAAATCCAACTGTGACCTCTTGGTTCATAGGTTGATGCTCAACCACGGAGCCCTGCAGGTTGGGCAATGAACCTTTCTCTTTAAACCAGTTCCCCTTTTTCCTGTTAAGTCATTCTTTCAGTCATCCTGATTTGAAAATTTATAATTAGTTCAACGGAATATTTATTCAGTACCTGTCTAATGTGTGAAGGATTAAGATTCTGTCTCTCATCTCTTCTGAGATGCCAACCCTTTTCAGTATTCCTTGGTACACTCTCATTTAAAAAAAAAATATTTTTATTGCATTTTAGAGAGAGAGGAAGGAAGAGGGATAGAGAGATAGACACATCAATGAGAGAGGAAGTCATTGATTTGTTGCCTCCTGCACGGCCCCCACTGGGGATCAAGCCCACAACCTGGGCATGTCCCCTGACTGGGAATTGAACTGGTGACTTCTTGGTTCCTGAGTTGACACTCAATCGCTGAGCCACACTAGCTGGGCTGGTGCCTTCTCTTTCTAATTTAAAAATTGTTTTCTAAATTGTCTCCCTATCTTCTGACTGTGCCCCTTCCTATTTCTGTCTTTTCCCATTATTCACCCCCCCCCCAAAAAAAAAAACCCCACATCTATTATATTGCTGTCACATTGCTTTCCATTCTGTTTTGGTTTCACTACCACCACTCCCTGCTCAAAAACCTTCAATGTTTCCCCATAGTCCAGGAGTAGGGAACCTTTTTACTGCCAAAGGACATTTGTATATTTATAACATCACTAGAGGCCCGGTGCATGAAATTTGTGCACTCAGGGGGATCCCTCAGCCCAGATTGCAAGAGGGCACAGGCCAGGTCGAGGGACCCCACAGGTGCACAGTCGGGGCCAGGGAGAGACATGGGAGGTTGGCCAGCCTGGGAGGGGCCATGGGAGGGCTACAGGGTGTGTCCAGCCCATCTCACTCAGTCCCGATTGGCCGGACCCTAGCAGCAAGATAACCTACCGGGCAGAGCGTCTGCCCCCTGGTGGTCAGTGCACATCATAGGGAGCAGTTGAATGGCCTTAGCATATCATTAGCATATTACACTTTGATTGAATGGCCTACTGGACAACTGGACATTTAGCATATTGGGCTTTTATTATATAGGACTAGAGGCCTGATGCAAGAAATTTGTGCAAGAGTAGGCCTTCCTTCCCCCGGCTGCCGACACCAGCTTCCCTCTGGCACCCGGGACTCGGGCTTCCCTCCGGCCACCAGCTGGCACCCAGGACCTGGGCTTCCCTCACAGCCCTGAAGGTCATCTGGAAGGATGTCCAGTCTAATTAGCATATTACACTTTTATTATTATAGATTCTTGGGCCATACAAAAGTATCAACTTAAAAATTAGCCTGTTGTATTTGGTCAAACATTTAATTAAGTAACCCTAATGCCTTGGCAGGGCCAGACCAAATGATTTCAAGGGCCTTATATGGTCCACTGGCTGGATGTTCCCCACCCTGCCATAGTCTATAAAATGAAGTATAAATCTATGGTTTGGCATTTAAGACTTTCCATACACTGTCTGAGATCTCTCTGAGCTACTCATAAATCCTTAATTAGAGTGGTTAGGTTATTTATTGATCCCCGAAAAGCTCATCGAGAGTCCCAGTCCTATCTCCATGCCCTTGCCCTTGCCCTTCCCTCACCTGAATGTCTGCCCATCTCATTGTTCTGTATCTTTTCTGCTCATCTTTTAGGCTTATTTCAGCTTTACATTTTGGGGTATGTTTTCTGACTGCCCCAGTCCCACGTGATTATTCTCCTTCTCTGTACTTCATTACACATTTGTGGTTTTGAACCACTCATTTAGGACTGAACATTTTATTAAATTTTTATGGTTTTATGTATGATATCTCTTCAGGAGTACCATGCTTCTGTCTCTTTGTGGCCCACAAAGTTTTTTTTTTTTTTTTTGGATGAAGTCAACTGGCTTTACTGACACTTTAATGGCACATTTGCTATTATTATATAGCTGAAGTGATTGGATAAAGTGGGAGGTATATTTGATGGTTAAAACATTAGCTGTGCTCAGACATTAAATATATCCAGTGACTGCCCTTTGCTATAAATTTGATTTCTTCTGTATGATATCAACTAAATTCAAACTGACTTCAAGCTCTGGGTAGAGTACCTGCCTATGTGCTGTATTTTGTTTGCTCATTGAGGGCTAAACAATTGCTTATTGCTGAAACCGGTTTGGCTCAGTGGATAGAGCGTCGGCCTGCGGACTGAAGAGTCCCAGGTTCGATTCCAGTCAAGGGCATGTACCTGGGTTGCAGGCACATCCCCAGTAGGAGATGTGCAGGAGGTGGCTGATCGATGTTTCTCTCTCATCGATGTTTCTGACTCTCTATCTCTCTCCCTTCCTCTCTGTAAAAAATCAATAAAATATATTCAAAACAAAACAATTGCTTATTGAATGGAAAATTTTGTAAAATGCATGTCTTTAACTGTTCTTCATTTTCTTTTCTTTCAGGTCTTATCACAATGGCTATATTTAGAACATGAGCAAGGAATTCAATTGACTTCTGAAGTAAATTTATCTTGAAAATATGAATGTGGACTGCCTTTTATCTCTATTTCACTCCATTAATATGCTATAAACTATTGAATGATTTACAGTGATTATAAATATATAATATATATTTTAAATTACTTTATAATTTTATTCAAAGGACTCCAGCACATTATGTTATTAAAAAACAAAAAACAACAACAACACACCAGGATGCTTCTGAGTGACACCGAGGAAATTCTTTGAAGAAATTCTTTTTATATCTAAACCTATTGTGCAAAAGACTTTAATTAAAACATTTCTTATTTTCTCATCTTTTTTCTAATTCATTTTAAATTTACTTTAATTGTTAGGCTCATGTGTCCTTCAAAGTTAGTTAAAGGCCTAAAACAGCAAACTGACTAGCCTAAAAATAAAATTACATTTATTTCCTTGCTACGAACATCAACATTACTATGTAAATTATACCTTGGCTTCTATTATAAACAGTTGCCATGGTGTTTCTGAAATAAGAGTTTTACAGTTAATGTGTGGAAGGTTTTTTATAAAGCACAAAGTATTGAGGAATCATGCTTATTCTAGGGCTCACAGAAGACAGGACATATTTAATTCATCTTCTGAATTACAGAATAGGTTGTGGTCCAGACACCAAACATATGGGGTTATTTTAAACCTCATAAAAGTAGGCTGACCTCTCTTATTTGGTCTAAGAAATCTAAAGGAAGGTAGGCATGTGTTTAGTTAGTGGTTCACCTTGGCTTTACCTTTGGATCAGGGGTCCTCAAACTACGGCCCGCGGGCCACATGCAAATACAAATATTGTATTTGTTCCCGTTTTGTTTTCTTACTTCAAAATAAGATATGTGCATAGGAATTTGTTCATAGTTTTTTTTTTAAACTATAGTCCGGCCCTCCAACGGTCTGAGGGACAGTGAACTGGCCCCCTGTTTAAAAAGTTTGAGGACCCCTGCTTTGGATAATGCTTTATGTTAATAGGAGGAAAAATCTTTTTCTCCCCAGCCTCTTGCCTGACTGTAAGAGACTAGGGCAGTTTGGGATTACCAGATACCAGATGGTTTATTGGAGATGATTTTTCACCTTTAAACCCTAAGCCAAGTATAGAAAATCCTTGAAATCTGTGTCTATTTTATATCAGTCACTGAGACATTTTTAAGTTTATATTTATTATTAAAACAACTTTATGAAAAAGTCCCCAAAGCACAACTATTTACATTTCTTTATAGCATCTTCTGATCTCTAACACATATATGCAGTTTTAACTGTTACTGTCATACTTAGGATTTTTATCTGAGAGCACAATGCATTAAGAGTCTCAATTCTTTTTTCAGATCTTTTTACAGAATGAACTTATGCACTGCTACTGTAGTATTCTCAAGGAGTATATGTAAACACAAAATGTACGCCTGAGGTTGGTTTTAGCAGGAAACAGTTCTTTGCGTCTAACGTAAAAGCTTTTACATATACTCTTTCATAGAAAATCCTGATTGGTTTAACCATTTGGGGAGCATAAATCATTAAACGGATCATGTCTGTACATTGTGTAATGAATGGAAAGCACATAAACGTCAATGTAATCTATTTTGAACTTTGTAAAAAAACCTGTTTGGAGGCTATCCTTGTTTCTCTGTCCATCTTAAGTCCTGTGTGTGTGTGCGCGCGTGTGTATGGGTATGTGTGCACATGCATGTGCACGCATGTGTGTGTATGATAACACATTGTAATAAAAATAAATTACTTAAAAATAAAAGAATGGATACACAAGTTTCACATTGATTTACACATTTTATTTGGGTTACTCTGAGGAACTCAAAAGTTTTAGCTCTCCTAATTCCTAAACTATCTCCTATTCCTGTGGGTTAAATAGAAAAAAATGAGCAAAACATGTGAGCTTAAATATCTTAAATTTCTTAATTTACCAAAGCAGCTACTATTTTTAATTATTGAAAAAGTAACAGTCACGTGCTTCAAAAATAAAAAGGTGTATAGTGAAAAGTTACTCCTCTTCATCCTTGTCTACCCCATTCCCTGTCCACTCATCACAAGTGACCACTTTTATTAGTTTAAACATGGTATTGTTTCTTTATCCAAATACATATATACTGGTATTCCCTGCTTTTGGAAAGTTTGCTTTATGCCACTTCTTTTACAAAAGTATTACTTAATACTTGTTTCCCTTAACCAAAAGATCTAAAAAGGATTTTTGCTTTTATGAAAAAGGCAAAAAGCAAAAATAGTGTTCAATGTTTGTTTTGCAGTATGTACTCGGAGCAGCAAGAGTGGACCCCACCAAGCTCCTTACCTGGGAATTATACTCAGCATGTCAGCATCAAGCCGCCATAGCTTTGACCTCTGAGCATGTGTGATTTATTATCTTGCACCCATTAGCAAGATGTGTCTTAAGGTAATTGCTTCTTTGCTTTACACCATTTCAGCTTTTGAAAGGTTTCATAGGGATGCAATTCCTTAAAAGCATAAAAATGAGAATAGTTTCGGATAGTGAGGGAAACCTTATTCTTATTTTTATATGCTTTTATATAAAAATGGTAGCATGTTTTACATACTGCACCTAGCATTTTTTTTACTTAACACTATATCAGTAATTGAACTTTCTATATGATTAATTGAAGAATGTCTTCATTCTTTTTATTACAGCTGCGTAGTATTTTCTTATAAGGCATAAAGCATTTTACCAGTTCCTCCTTTATCAGTTCTATCAGCAATGCATGAGTACCTGTTCTTTCATAGTCTCATTAGCCATGTGTTTTCCAATCTGATACATGAGGAATGGTATTTCAGTGTAGTTTTAATTTTTATTAACTTATAAGTGAGGTTGAGTATATCTTTTCATAGACTAATTTATTCACATCCTTTGTCCCCCAACCCCTGCTTTCTGGTGGGTGGGTGAGTTTTTTTCTTATTGACTTGTAGGAGCTATTTGTGATATGAGTTGCAGATATTACCTTTCAGTTTATAATTTTCTCTTGACTTGGCTTATGGTGTCTTTAGCATGCAAAATTTATTCTGGGGTAGTTGAATTTATTAATCTTTTATGACTTCTGTGTTTTGAATAATAGAAAACTCTACCCCACCCCAAGGTTACGTGGATACATGTATGTATACACACAAACACCAGTTAGGAGATTTAATAATATAATAGCAAAAAATTAAACTAAAAAGCCTTAGGTTTAATCTTTAAAAAGTCCCAAAACCTTTAAACTATAAGATACTCCTGTAAACACAAAACTAGACTTGACCAAATGGAAGACATCTGGCATATTCTTGGATATGTATATTCTTGACATCATAAACATTTCCCTTATTTCTAAGTTATATAAATTTAACATGATTCCAATAAGAATACCAAATGGTTTTGGTATTTTTTTTACCTAGGTAAGTTGATTCTAGAATTCATGTGGAGAAATAGGCATGGATATGAAACTCTTCAAAAGAAAAGTAAAGGAGGAAATTTTCCCAATATTAAAATATATAACCCCAAAATTCCAACAGTGTGGTATTTGCCCATGAATAGGCCAGTGGAAAAGAATCAGAAGTACAGAAACAGATGCAAATACATCCAGGAATTTAGTATATGATAAATAGTGGTCATCTCAAAGTAGTGGTCAATAAATAGCATGAAATCAACTAGATAAACATCTAGGAAAAAAAGGAAGTTGGATTGATGCATTCCACCAGAATAAACTCCAAAAGAAATAAAAATTTAAGGGGAAAAAAAAACAAAACAATAAGGTGCTAGCCAAAAATGTGGCATTATTAATTCTCATATAATCTTGGAAGAGGTTAATTCTTGATGACTCAGTAGCAGTATTTCATATCAACTACTAAATTTGCAATCAGTGTTTCCCTTTGGAAGTTGTTTTTCTTCTCTCCTGAATGTAATTTCCAGTTTTATAAAAGGGCCTCCACAAAAATTAATTGCCAAAGTAGATTCCTAGAATCATAAAACTTGAATCTTCCTATTAGAGATTACTTAATTCAATTCACTAAGTCTTGCCCTTTAATTCAAACCAATGCTGCATTTTGACAGGTTGTAATCAATAAGAACTGGGTGCCTGGCAAGTGATCATACACTGTGTATCTGCACTGTCTAGATTACAGTTCACAGTTGAATGTGTGGTGGTGTTGGGGAAGGGCAGGAAAGGAAATGGAACTTAGACAGCCTTTGATCCAATTCCATGCTGAAGTGCGTGGCATACCCTACAAATTATGTAGGAGTTGGGGGTACCTGAGCTGGCTTTTAAAGGGTAGGTTTGACTTATATATGGAAAAGAGTTGGGTTCATAAGAAAAGGCAAGGATGCATGTGCCACGACATAGAGTTGTTTTGAAATAGTTTCTAGGGAGATATTTGAGACTGCAATGTGTGTGCCTTTATTACCTGTCTACCAGAAAGAAAACTTTTTCCTGCCATGATTAAAAGGGCTGAACATAGGGTAGTGAGGAAAGAACCGAGCTTACTAAGGGGCCACAAGTATTACAAAGGTTAATCAAGGATAAGGTAAAAAGGTAGTTTTCATTATGAAAACAATTATGATTCATCCTAAAAAAAGGATCTAGCAAACAGGCAATGTACAGCAAGAGCCATGGCAATAGCTATAATTATCTGTAACTGCAGGTGTTTCTGCCACCTCAAAATTGTTAGGCCTCCACAATTTTGCCACCCGAGTCCACTTCAAAAGGAGTTATACAAAGTCAGCGTGTAAAGTTTCAGGTTTCTAGAAGGGATTCTGGAAATGAGTGTCTCCTAGATATTTTCATTCACCAAACAATTGAGTGGAAAAACTATATAGCAGCTGCCCAGAAGACACCTCCAGGGTTTCAACATGAAAACGGAAATAGAACGCTGAGGTTTCAAAACTTTGCTATTGTGAAAGAGATTGAAGATTTCAAGTAGCATCTAAAGCCCTGTTATTTTGAAAGAACATGCCTAAAGGGAACAATTTATAATGATTAGAGGGATGGTGATACTGGGACCATGCAGCTACACTAGAAGATTCTCTACAGAGCCTAGCTGTATTATCCCAGAAGCAGAATGTCAAGTTAGTGATTATTTCATCAGGAAAATATTTGCTACACCTATAGTCTGGAAGTGATAAATAACATACCAGAGCAGAAAGTTACACTCCAGGATTAAGTACCAAACAAAATGAAAAAGAGTTGACCCAGACTTTGAGATGAAGCCTTGTCCAGTAACCACATCAAAGACCCTTTAAATAAGTCATAGGCAGAAAAAAAAGGAATCAATTGGGACACTGGTTTGGAGACACTTTGTA